GAAGCATGTGTACGGAAGTAAAACGTTATAGAGAATGCAAGCTTTTGAGTGGCATCATGATTTCAGAGATGGCAGGGAAATTGCTGAAGATGACGAACACTGTGGCCGTCCCGTGACTTTGCGCACCAATGAATACATCAAAAAGTTGTCTGTGGCGGTATGTGCGAACAGGCAGCAAACAATTTGCCAAATAGCAGAATCAGATGGGAAATCAGAGGCCACATTCCAGCAGATACTGACTAAGGATCTTAACATGCATAAGGTTTGTCAATACATCGTTCCCAGCATGTTAAACGTAGATCAAAGGGAATTTGATTGGAAAACACAGGAGACTTAATCTTGGCTGTTGACAAAGATCCTTCCCTACCTGGGAGAATTGTTATTAGAGATAAGAAATTGTGTTTTTTGTACGACATGCAAACCAAGAGAATATATTGGGAATCTGGAAATCACCACAATCTATACGGATGCAAAAGTTCCGCCAAGATCGCTCTAAAGGAAAAGTCATGCTAGAGGTATTCTTCAATACCAGGCCACTGTGCATCTGGAATTTACCCTTGAAGGACGCACTGTGAACAAAGAAATCGATGCTGAAATCCTGCATCGTTTGCGTGAGTCAATCCGGAAGATACCAAAAATGTGGGCTGAGCAGTCATGGGTGCTGTTGCATGAAAACACTCCTGCTCACCAATCCCTACTTGTCAATGACTTTCTTGCGAAAGCGAAAACTACTTTTTGCCCCACCTTCCTTACTCCCCTGATTTTGCACACTGCGATTTCTTCCTATTTCCTGAACTGGCAAGATGCTTACAGGGTCATTGATTTCAATCTTCAGCTAAAGTTAATTATGCATCGCAAACAGAATTAAAGGACATGGCCAAAAAATGGATTCCAGACATGCTTCGATGAACTTTACAGGCTTTCGCAAAAGTGTGTTGTTGCACAAGGGTTTTATTTTGAAGGAGGATGTGTTTCTGCAATTTAATTGATAATATTTTTTATGCTGTAGACTCAGTCTGGGAACTTTTGAATTCTACCTTGTATACCTCCTAAACTGTAGTCTTTCCAATGCCATCATTCTTGTATAATTCTGAGACAGAAATGCCTTTATCCACTTTTTTCTTGACTGACATAGAAACATGCTTTTTGCTTTGCAGATCCTGCTACATTTCCAGAATTAGAAGTTCTTTACAACATAATCAAAAATTTAAACTTAATTTTGATACGATAGCTGTAATAATAATAGCATGCAAAAAATAAAATGCTGGGTCAAATTAAGGAGAAGTGCAGTTTGCTATGTTAACTGAACTTTAGTTCTTCGAAATCTAATTCTTTCACCTTTCACCACTGCTAACAAAAGAAAGCCGGTATGAGCAACATTTCACTCCAAACAAACGTGTTTCAGGGTTTCATTTATTTTTTAGATCAAACAGTAAAATGCTAACCTCCTTTCTCTTTTCTTATTATGTTTATCTGGCAAACAATATTTTGAAATTGTGGGTAATTAATTACATAAAAAGAAATTTCCCACTAGAAAGTAAAGTATTATTTCACACATAAATTGCTTCTGTATTTGTTTTATGATATTACTATCACGTAATTTTTACTTGCACTAAATACAGAGTGAAACTGCGGTGCAGCCCAGCTACAGTAGTTCCCAATTTCTGTGATAAATTGTTATTCTACCCAGAGCGTACCAGGCTCCTAAATAAAAGGGCTCTGGCACTTTCTTTATGTAAGAGAATCATGACTTTAGCAGAAAAAGTTTAATAATAACTATGCTTTAAAAATCGATTCTAATTTCTGAATGTATGCCTGTCTTTCCTTGAGGAATGAACTCTTCAAAGGAAGGTGAGACCTTTTAAAGGAAGAGTTGAAGGAAGACCCCACCCATACGTCAAAGTTCTGTCCTCCATGAAGTGCAATTAATTTACGACAGCTGGTAAATTTTTTGCTCAAAAATATTAAAAGTGAACACTCTGGCCATGTAATTCAGATGCTAGTAACTTCCTACTGTAGAGCTACTGCAGAACTTTTTGAACCAAATACATGGGATGAAAACTGACACTTGTACAGAGATTTAATTTCCTTTTTACGTTGTTATGAGATCACATTCAGGAGAAATTTTTCTCCTGCCACATTCTTCAGAGAATTATATCAGCAGGACATAGCATTAATTTCAATTGAATTATTAGTTACTTATTTGCCCCCTCTTTCCTGATGGCCTTTCCTAGGTCTCTGAAACTTTTAATTTTAGGATAGCCTTGCAGTAATCCCAAAGGCTAACAAAACGTGTGCCAAAAATTGATTTGGCAACAATTTGACAAACTGAAATAATTTTTGGCATCTTCACCAAAATGATATTATATTTTGAAAACAAAAAAGCATTTGCACTTAACATCGAAAAACCACAGAAGTTTTCACAAAAATTATGAAAGTTGGTACATAGTTCCTCTAGAAAGCATAGTGCAATTATTTTCTATCACTATCACCACATATGAATGGACATGCAATAGCTAAGACGCATCTTAAAAATCTGCAAGTTGATACTGTGTTACACTTATCAAAATCCTACTCTTGACACCTGCTGAGAAAAAATGGAGAAAAATTTTCTCACTTGAACAGGACATGTTTATATTTCTCTTTAATTTTACCATAAGCTGAATTTTTAAATAAGAAATGAGACATTTAATTTTCTCTTTATTAATTCAAAATCTTTATTGTAGGACAATAAAACTTCTGAAAAATAAATATAGTTAAGCTCATGAATATTTTTCTTTTGTTTTTTTTTTTCAAAACTGAGTAAAATCATTTTAATTATTTTTATCCATTTGGAACTGATGATCATTAACACATCTTCCTGGCACAAGTTTAAAATGATTGGACTTCATATTACAGTAGAATTCCTATAATCTGCATGTCTTGAGATAAGGGATTTTGCACATTAGTGAGTTTTAAGAATAAATGGTCATGCCTTCTAATAACGAACTAATTAAAACATACACCTATCTTAAGAATTTTCAGCTTAACTTTACAAAATATAAAACTATTTCAAATACAATTACATACAAAGAAAGTAATGCTAATATAAAGGGGAAATGTAGTGAATAGTTAAAATATGAAAATGTTTTGAGGAAATAAAAATACAAAAAGTGTTTTGTGCATTAAAAAATGCACCTGTCAGAAAATAACTTTCAAAGTAACTTTTATGTGATTAAATGACAGAAAAGAAAATAAATATACTGTCTATAAAACATTCAAAAACAATGATTTCCCAAGATTTAATTCTTAAGTGAAGCCCACCATTATGTACCATAAATGAACATCTGGATTAATAATGGTGCAAAAAGTGCCAGAATTGAAATTCTTGATTTATTAAAAAGAAATTTCTCTTTTTTCAGCCCTTCTTTCCTCATTGAGTTCTCCGTTTTTAACATCGGAAATATCTTTATAATGGCTATTTTCAGGAACCTATTCATATTTGCTATTGATGCTTGAACTATGAAGAATGTAACAAAATCAGTAATGAAGTGCATTTATGTTTGAACAAAATATCTAAAAAGGTTAGGACCAATTAATTCTTGACAAATACTATGTAATTTTAAAATTAACCACATGAATTCAAAATCAATATTAAAAGGTGGCAAAATACATACCTAAAAGGAAAGGTTTACTCAACCCATTAACCACTGGTGTTGCGTTGACGCAACGGTCAAAATAAATGCGTATATAAATATAACTACCTAAGATATTTTATACCAGCAGATGATTTTGCGTAGGGAATATTATGAAGATTATTTGTGTAAAAAATATTTGCCTTCAACAATCATTTTGTTTATAATAATTAATCTCATACTTTAAGCAAAATGTAAACAAAATTTTCGACCAAATATTTTTGCTGAAAATATTTAACGAAAGAATCGGCGTCTTTATGAGTGATCTATTTTTAGTCAAGGTCACCGTTTATCAGAACATTACATCAATCAGATGTTTAAATTTGTGTTGGGATAGAAGGGAAAACAGGTGTTGCGTTGACGCAACGTCAGCAGGGATTGGGTAGTCAATCTCCTTTTTGACTCATTCCTTTTGATGTTCTGGTTGTTTAAAAGTGCCTAGAACGATGTATCTTACATTAGAAGAAGCCCTTCAAAGATTTTTTGATGAAGAAACTGATTATGATAATGTTAATAATGACCAGAATGAAACTGATATTGTTGTTGTTCCCCAGAAATTGCAGAGGCTAGTGATGAAGAAGAAAGGAATGGCAATGTTTTAAATAATGATAATGATATTTTGCCAAATGATACTGCTGGGGAAGTTGAAATTGGAAAAGTTGGGGAAAGAAATAAGTTTCAGCCTTCTAAAAACAGTTATAGTCATACTAAAAAGCTTAAAAAGCAGAAGACTGAAATCTTGAAGTGGATAAAAAAAGGAACTGTTAGTTATGTCTATCTAAACATACTAAATATCACCACATTTTACTACCGGAAATATAAAGTCTCTTTTAGATTTCAGACGCGAGAATGCATTATTTCTTTTGCAAACTCCTATTGAGAGTGTAGAACTAGCCAGAAAAATAGATCAGCGACAGGGAAGACCTAGTAGTAAAACTCAGCATTCAAAAACCATTGCATGGAGATGGTAGACATTTTATCGTAAAGTCCGTTGATAACAAAAAAGACTTTGTTGTAAAGAGTACCATAGCCAGACTGTTTATAGATGCAAGCTTTACATCATGATCGTAATCAAGCTTTTCATGCTTGAATCTTTCAAATGAAATAATCTGTATTTGTAAAAGAAATACAATGTATATTTTAATATTAAATTAATTACAAGTAAAGTGATTCGAAGATTTATAAAACGTTATACAGCTAAAAAGTAATCCTGCGCTTCGCTCACAAGAAACATCACACGAGTACATCCTACTCACTAAACATCTGTAGTCTTATTCCGCTGACGTTGCGCGAACGCAACACTCGGTTTTTCCACAGGTAAGAGCATTTTTTTTTTTTTTTTTTAATTTTCAATGTAAATTTATGTTACAAATGCTTAATTTAATATTTGTTATTATTTTCATGAGAAAGGAAGCATTCCTTGTAGTTTTGGCGATTAATGGGTTAAAGCAAATGATTTGCCGAGATTCATGATCTGCATTTATTATAAAAACAGAGCACTGAAAATTTGTTCGGCTCACTTCAATAACATAGTAAATTTGCTTTTTCAATCAAAATATGTTATTGTGTTTTTTATTAAAAAATTGATTTCCATATGCATAAAGAAAAATTGCCACTGAATTTTCTGAAAATTAATATTTTTTTTTGTTTACATTCAGAACAGATTATAGGAATTCTACTGTATTACATTAAGAAATTTGCTGATTAATGCAATTTGAAACATTCAGTATTTGACATAGTGGTCTTTACCTGCGTAGTAATCAAAACAAATTCAAACACAAGAACTCGCCTATATATATATATATGTGTGTGTGTGTGTTTGTAGGCATCTATTAATCCTTTGGTCGATCGTCACATACACACATAATACTGCACGGGAATTTACAGTACAGCATTTCTAAGAAATAACGTAGCTTTGGAATGAACAAAAGGTTTGCATTAACTCATAAAGATTCCAATTATGTGTCACAATGGTTTGTTTTATTAATTAAAGAAAAAAGTATTATTCAAACTAGAATTTTAAATAAGCGCTTTAACCTAACATGCTAAATGGTACTTAAAGACTAAAATATTCAAATTAAAGTATGGCAGTTAGTATACTTGTAGTTAATCTGACAAATATTAACCTTTTACACAAAATGCACAATTCTCAGTTGATTTGTTGCATTACACACAGTTCTGACTGAGAGTTGCCTCATAAATGCAAAAAGGTTACATGTAATATTTTTGGACAATTTAAATAATGTAACATTTTTAATAGTCACTAACATAAAATCTACATATATAAATGAATCAATGTAAATTTTGAAACTACTAAATTTACATTCAGTACCTTTACGGAATAAATAAGTAATAAAAACATAAACAATGCTTTTGAAACTGCAAACAGAGAACTCTTAAATTTAATAGGAAAGAACTAAGAAAATCTGTGCATCACTTTAATACTGGAAGTCAATTGCCAACACATTAAATTAATTTTAAGATTTAAACTGAAATTTTAATGGTATCTAGACATCCTCAAAATGTAATTTTTGTTTGAGTTGACATATATGCATTAGATTTTTATATTAAAAGTTTTATGTTAGAAGAGTGCAAAAATAGTACACTCAAGCTACAAATGTTAAACAATAAAAATCTGACAAAGCCTTAGGACTGATTTAAAATATACAAGGCATTTTTTAAGATAACCTGACATTTTAAAATATAAACTAAGCAATAAATTTTATGGTGTGTATAGTTATAAACATCATATTTCAAAATGCGTTGGAAAATCTATATTCCTCAAGAGATATTCTGAAAGTTACTAGTTCAGCATTCGGCGACAAGTTTTGAATATTATTTTTGTAAAATACCTGGGAGGAAAATAAAAATTTTAATAAATTTATATTTTATGCATTAGGATAGTTCTTACTTTTCAAAATGGTAGCTAACAGACTTATGAGGACATGAGAAAGTAATATTAAATTCAAGATTTCAGAAACATTTTTATGATTGAGTTTAAAGAATCATTAACAAGCATCTACATCTTTAAATTAGCAAATCACATTATGTTTGTTGCTAACCATTAAATTTGCAGGTACAAATACTCCGGCAATGATGGCAAATTGCAATACATGGCATACAATGACTTCACAACACTCATCTCTAAGTGTTCTAGATCAAAACTGGGTAAATGTGTAGAGCTTATCTGGTTAAATGAGCTTTTGAAATTACATTTAACATCTAATGATCATGTTTAGGAATGAACATTTTAGAGTATTTACTTGGTGAAATACTAGAAAGAGGAAATTCAATATAGGACACATGAAACATACCAAACAATTTTGATACTTTGAAGGATCTTTAAAAAATACAGTATAACGTTGATTGATATTGAATATATAAAAAATAAGGAGAAAACTTTTTCTAAAATTTTCTAAAATCCATTTCAGAGTCGAAAAGTAATTTTCTAACATCTTTTACGTACAAAATATAATTTATGAATACTGAGAAAAATATTTTCTTTACATAAATTTACATTCAAGAAAGAAGTTTAAAAAACTGGAACTATAAAATTAAAAATCATAAAATAACAACTTTTACACACATACAATAAGCATACGATCATCATGCTTATTTAGACTTACCGAAATAGTGAATGAATTTAAATTAGCACAAAACTGGAGTTAGTTTATGATAGGGTTGATAATTTTTAGTCACTTTTGCACTATGTTTGGATGATAAGGTTATCAACGGTGACCTTCTGAATTTCATTGCACAGCAGTAGATGTGTTTAAGGTTAACATCGTTTTCATTTGGACAGTGTTGATTTATGCGATGCTAAAAGTCTTAATGAGAAATTACCAACCATACAAACTAAAGATTTATGGAGATCAATATTTTCTTTCAAACTTCAGAGAATATCAACACGTTAGACATATTAAAAAATTTGACTAATTTTTCAGTTCCAAAACACAGTTTACATTAAGAGCTTATAGTTAAAGCACTTGAGATTACAGTTAAATACAACTTCAGAACCACATTTAATTTCTCTAGCGATTTTATTAATGAAAATTAAGCAGATTATTTTATCAATATAATGTTTTATGCATATATATATATATATTGTGTGTGTGTTTACATTTAGCAGATTTCATACATGAATAACTTCAATGAATTTGACTTTATGACAAGATCTACAAGTTTTCAGCTGAATTTCATGTTGACTCACAAGCATATGTACACAGCAATAAAAATGAGAAGCTATAAATATCATCAACATCAGCGAATATTAGAAACATTAGGCAACTAACTAATCACAGAAACACAAGTTATAATAAATAACAAAATGCTTGCTGCAACATAAAAAATTATCTTCATCAATAAAACTCAGACTAGCAGATGAACACATGAAACGACCTCCATACCTTCAACTCAAGTCCATGATTTTAACAAACTAGGGAAATAGCTAGGTGATTTAAATTTTAAGCACATGTGTCACTGTCACTGACCTAATTATTAACATGGCAGAGGTCAGCTGATTCTAGAAAATATAACCCAACTGCCACAGTATATGACAGAGTAGTATATCCTGGGGATACTAAACAGTCAGAATTGCCTGTCATACAATAACAGTACCATTATCAAAAATTTTCAAGAGCTGATAGATAAAATGAAAAATATGGATTTGTACAATAAAATGCAGCACATAAGGGAAATGCTCTTAATTGAACAACACAGATTCAGGATCTTGATTAGCCAGTTGCTTAATGTGTCTAAGCACATCTTTTTTAGTTATGATGCCCAGCAAACGCCTGAAAAAAAATATAACATGTTAATACGTTACACAAATTGAAATATAGTGAATAAAAGGCTGATATGAAGAAAATTACACACATTTAATAAAAATACACACTTATATTAGTTTTAAAAAATTTTAAGATAAATAAGTAACGATCTCAATACAAAGCTGAAATTAAAAACACAGTCAAAGATTCCTGCTTATACACTAAATGCATTATTCAAACTCATACTTGCTTTGTCATATTGATTTGTAATCTACTAACAGCACACATCTGATTCCATAACAATTTCAGTATTAATCAATGTTTTCCAAAAGCCTCTAAAGAGAATTCTGTGCACAAAAAAACTAAATAATATTTGTCCCAAGTGAAACTGCCTATTAGAAACTTTTTAATGACATTTTTGCAAGATGAAAATCAGAGAAAACTCTGTTTAGGGAAGACATTTTTCACAGAAGCAGATCCTGGATGAAATTCCAGTGACAAACATCTGTATGCTGCATTAATAAAATATTAGGTTTTGAACTTCAAGCAAATACAGTAAAATATGATAAATTTTCTTGCCATTATCAAAAACTATATTCAAAATCTGCATTTAAATCATTGCACATGTCTTAAGCCATCATTTTGCAGTTAAATTTAAACCCAGAACCCTCTTTGGAATCCACCTGGCATACAATTTCTAGAATATGTGTTTCGCAACGATTTTATGCACCACAAATCGCGATATCCACGGGAAATGGCTACCAAGTTATGTAATAGTAAAGCAATGATTCCGCAGAATTCATTGCTCTAAAAGGCAGTCATTGATGAGGGATGGCAATTGCAGCGCTGTTTGTCATGGATACTTTGCCTACCTTCAGGATCGATCCAGTTTTACATCCCTTCCTGCAAACTAAATGCCACTAGGATGACAACCTGTGAACACCTCTGTATAAGATGCGAGGGCCGCACATTGTCAAGCAATTCCCCCTTAAGAGAAAATAAAACAAACTCAGCTTGTATAGAGTAGCAGCCTTGATCCCACAATGCAGACTTTTTAAAAGAACTCTCTCTCTTAACCCTTCGGGTTGAATTGGGAACCAGGAACTTGTGAAAGCATGGGTCTCGGAGATCACCCCAGAAGAAAGCACAATATGGACGCTGTTGAAATCCCAACAGCAATGATGAATCATCTGCTTGCTCATCCCATCCAGTCTATACAATAAACACAACTGTCTAACAACACAGCTATCAATGGATTTTGATCGGCTCTACCTTCTGCATGTTAAAAAACTTTATCACAGACCAAAACTTGCAGTCGGTGGGAGAAGAGATAAGAGACAAAATCTTTGTGTGCTACAATGATTTTAATATAAGTGACCAGGAAATAACAACTGTCACATAGGACAGCCACACCCACAAACACTCTGGCTTGTGCCTTCACGACTTGGTCTTTTACAGAGCCATATTTTGGCAATCGGAGGGGGGGGGACCTTACTTTAAAGATGATCCCAGTAGAATCAAGAATTTTTAAAAGATCTCCAGTTTTTTAACGCAGTTTTCAGTATTTATAAAATTCTCAAATTCACTAATCAAAGGTATAGACATAGTGCCCAGCAAATTAACTTCATTATTTTCTTATTGTGTGCAATTTTCTTATTGTGTAATTACCATTTTCTCAAAAGTGTGTGTGTGTGATTATGGCAAAGCCTCGATGGCTATCTGCGTAAGGGGAGGGATGACTTTGTGGAGGACTTTCTAAGGCAAACTGACTCATACACACGTTACACACGGGGAAACCACAAAAAGGCCCTTGTAGCCAGCCCGTTCGTGGGATTCGAACCTCGGACCGAACTACCAGCGTTCAGCGACTTTACCGCTCGGCCACTGGTGGGCCATTTTCTCAACAGAATTACTTAAAATATGCAGCTTCTTACTTTTTCAGTTCTTTCTCCCCTTTACATTTGGAATATTAACACAAATTCCTTTTTATTCTTTCTAAAGACACATTAGATAAATATGAATTAAGCTCTAGACACTGATATCTATTTTCAAAAGCAGGATTTCAAAAAATATTCTTAAGAGACTCACTCTCGTTCAGCAACTCATTTACAGGCTATGTCAGAAACTGAATTAAGCAGAAGAAATGGTTATGTAAACACATATCAGAATGAAGAAAAGAAATGTCTCAAATTCCAAGTGAAAGAGGAATTTGTAGCAACATGTCTAATTAACTATTCTAATATTCTGATTATCTGCACCCCTGGTTTCAACATTCAGTAGAAGTGGCAGCTTTTTGGCATATTTCTGAGTAAATGTAGGTCAGTAGCTAACCAATGAATGCGAGTATGACACGCATGCTTGAGTACAAGTGGATTTACTTTTCTGATAAAATTTTTATAAAAAAAATAAACGCTTCATTTTTCTTATAAAATGCTTAAAAATGCTTTGAATCTTATGAAACACTTTTTTTTTTATTATTACTCATGAATAAAATGGCACTTCTGAGCTAGCCAAACAAATGTTTTCAACCAAACATCACCAATCAGCTGGTGACTTTCAGAGGGTTGCAGATAATTAGAAAAGACTGACCATATCTCGTATTTTCAGAAAAAATTTATTAAAAAATAAATACACCAACTACATATATAGGAAATATACCAACTACACAACTGCCGGCTTAACAAGCAGATTTTTCCCGGGAGAGGGGGGAGGAAGGGACAGAAAAGTATAAAGTAAATTTTCCAGGGAAAACACATCTATTTTAGCATAAAAAATATGCATTTAACATCAATCACTTGTTAAGCAAAGTTTCTTCTTTTGTAAGAATAATGAAGGTAAAATGAGGATTTATTTAACTCAAGTTTATGTTTCCAATAAAGGTTATTTTCCATAATTGGAGACATCATATTTTTTCTTTCACATTTTATCAAAAGCCATACTTTGGGTTATTTTAGTACTCCAAGTAAGGAATCTCATCTTACACAATTTATGCAGTCTTGACAGGATATTCTGCATTTATTTATAATATTTAAATAATATATTAAAAAATTAACTATAATATTCAAATAATGCTTTTTAAAAATTTCTACAATTATAAAGATGGAAAAATTAATCTATTTTTCCTTTCTTTAAAAATGAAAGGAGCTCTGCCATATCTTGGAAGCCCTTAAGTAGTCATGTAGGTTTGCTAAATGATAAAACTTCTGATGGGTTCTTCTATAAGTAACTGCATTTAAGTAATTATGCATTTATGATACACAGTCTGAAATTATATATTTTAAATGTATTAGTACTGAAGAAATCAATACAATTTGGAAGTAAAATCAATCTAAATTAAATCATAAAAGAAAATTTCTATTATACTTGTGCTAGATTTCTAAATTGTATGCCTAATTATCAGTAACTTTTACCATATTAACAGCAATAATTTCTTTAGCTATTTTGACATTCTGGAATTTATATAGTTTGAATTTGATGCTTGAAGGCTATCTCCCCTCAGTTTATAAAAATATCAAAATTATATTATACTATATGTTTCCTATTATTTTTCTCCTATTGCAAACACAAAGAAGTATGAATTAGAAGTTTTAAACTTTATCCTAATATATGAAGAATCATTATCATCATCATTATAATTACTTTTGTTTACAATGTAGTAAAGAATGGGATGGTCCTATCATACAGTTTTATTTCTAGAATCCCAAAACTATTCTGAATCAAATAAGACCGAATATACACAATATTAATATGGATTCATAGACTAAATATTATATATATTAATATACAGCCAATGTGTTATTGATTGTTAATTATGTTCAGCCCTGTAATTGAGAATGCTATTATTTAACATTTTTTAACAACATTCATATTTGAAACCTAAATAAAACATCATATGCTAACTTTTAGAGTCTCAAAATGTTCATTCATCTTTCTTAGAGAGTTTTCAACCCTTTATGATGCTGCAGTTTTTACACAGAATCACAACATTTCACTAAAAAAAAAACTGGTCTAAAATATGTACATGATCTCTAACTTAGAATAAATATAGAATTCAATGCAACTTTGCTTACCCATTATATTTTTTAAATATATTAATAGATATTATATTTATATTTGCTTACCCATTATGTATAACGAGTGTTTGCCGTAAGCCAAGTTTACGGAACATGTCAATGACTGTTTCCATTGGTGTCTGATCAGTAATAGTGATAGGAGCCTATTTTTAGTGAAAAAAAAATCAAGATGTATAAATTCAAATTGCGACTAAAGTCTACACAATATAAAAATGGACAAATGAATATTTCCTTTATATGCAATATTTTCTTTTCTAAGTTTTCTGAGCTATCATGCATTTGCTTCAATAATTACCTAAAATTATTTTCATTCATAATAAGTTTTAATTTTTGCCATCTACAAAAATATTTTAAATACTGCTATTTCTGGAAGAAAGGCAATATCAGTGTAAAAGCTGTACTTGAGAAAAGCAGGGAGAGGTGGGGGAAACTAAAATTGTACAAGAATGTTGCATTATGCTAATTTGCATATGACATCACTGTGAACAACACAGTAAAAAAATCTTGACTTATGTCATGATATAAGCCCTATCAATTAAGGAAAATGGATGAAATGAAATCATAACTCAAAAATAAACTGCAGAAGAAAAATGTTGAAAATATACTTACATTTATGAATATACTTAAATTTACCAGCTAAAGAAGTTCATATATGTAACATTCATACTACATAATAACAAATATTGCTACATTGAGACATATTTTAGACAGAAGAAATGAGATATTACAAAATAACAGTAAACTGTATATCATACAATGCCACCAAAATTGGATTCTTCACCATCAGAATTAAAAAACTTAGCAAATACTGATTTAAGTTTGGATTTAAATAGTCCCAAGTCTGCCAGATCATCATATTCATCTTCTTTTTCATTTGGAGGAGAGTCAAAAGCTAATGGTGTATCATCCCTATTTACTATCTGTAATAGATTTTTTTCTCTCCTGCCAATAATACCTATCACATATTTTAGAAACGATTTTTTTTTATCCTTCCTGTCGATTGGGAAATGTTGCCTGAGGTGCAGTTTAGATACACAAAGACATCTTTTTCTGTCCATAAATCTGCTTACACCAGCAAGGCCCTATATTTAAGTCATGTATCTTAATTTGTTGCTTTTACATTTGGCTATCTTATAGTACTATTATACCACTTATTTTATCTTGTTTCTGTTATGGATATTTTCTAGTTCTTCTTTTTCAGCTCTGTAATGTAGAATACATCGCTCGTCCACTCAAATTCTCGAGCTGTTACTCTATTTCCCATTTCTACAGCATGGGAAATTGCACTAAGCTTAAAACTAGCACTGTAACTTCTAGGCTATTTAAGTATCATTCTCAAAATTTTTCTACTTCCTTCTCACTTAAAAATTATCCAACAAGTACTTGTAGCAAAGTTGATGGGATCTGTAGAATGTCAAGAAGACTCAACTCGTACTGAAGGGGAAATATACATCAGAGTTCATCATTGTAATGCAGGTAGAGTTGTGTTCATGTTGGAAGAACCACAGTAGATTTACAATCGAAAAGAGAAGGAAAGATGCTGAATACCAGATGTTTATCAGTTTAGGTACTTCATGATTAGATGGTTCATCAAAGAACAGAGATTATACAAAATGATGTGAATGGTGATTTGAATATGGAAAGAATATAATTGTTTCAAGATTGTGCTTAAGGTGAATAAGGCATGTAGGTGAGTTCAAAGGAAAGAATATAAACACAGCAAAGTTTGCATACAGCAAACGTGTGGTATTCTAAAGCATCAAGGTCATCAAGATATTTACAATGACATCTTATGGAATATTATTTCATAAGCGTTTGCAGGCGATGCTACAGCTGCTGAAAGTTTAAGCTTTAAGCATGTCAGCACCATGGCATTTCTTCTGGAAATTATTGTATTTTTTATGGGTTACAAGTGTGACAAAATTTTTATAAACTTAAATGCAACACATATTCTCATATATTCCTGGATATCTCTAAATATGTAAACACAGCAGGCCATTTAGCAAGTTCTGCTACATGACTAAATTGTAACACACATATTTTGAGGAATATGGGATCATCACAACACCTATGGCAACCCAAAAAATTTTGCTCATATTTTGGCAGCATAAAAATGTTACAATGGTCAAACTCTGTGGTTTATTAGCAAGAAGTCCTCTGTTTTGAAAGTATGGATATTAACTGATTCTTGATGGCAGAATGCCATCAAAAGCATTGCACTATAATTTCAAGCCCAAGTTAAGTTAAAAAAATATTGAAACTGTTTAAAATGCTAAATTATTGTTCTCATGTGCTTAAGGATCAATACTTCACCAAAGTAAATGCATTGTTAAGGATTCTGAAAAATTAATGTAGTCTAAGCGTTATTTAATGACCATTGTCATTATAACATGCCTGAAATGGATAAAACTACTGTTCACACAGAAATGAAGATATTTTTCATTCAAGATTAATTTACAACAGTTAATAAATACCTTTTAAAGTCATATTCATAGTATGAAAATTAATAGACTTTAAAAGAAAAAACAGCTACTGTACACGAATGATGATATCAAATATGACGGGGGACAAGTTATTAAAACTATACTTATTAGGCATGTAATTTACAATATAACGGTAAAATGATTATAGTTACAGCTTGGTTCAAGTAGCAAAGCTTAGAGATATTAATTAGTATCATGGGCAACAATAACTGCTGCTATACAACCCAGCAAATAGAAGAAGAGACACAAAATGTCTCTCTTTCTCTATTTGCTGGGGTGTAACAGCAGAAGTGTGTCAGTGCACATAGTTATGGCACGTAGCTGAAGCTCAATCTGTTAAAGGTAGTTTGAGGTGTAGTAGTTACTGTGTGATCATAAATCTAACATGATTAACAGAAAATAGATCTCATAAATATGTGCACTCTATGTAAATATTCAGCAGTCTTTAATCACTTGGTTCAATCTGGTTTGGGTTCAATCCCAGGCGAACAGGATGGCTACATGGTTGGGTTTCATGAATATAAGACAGTTTTCCTTAGAAAGTCCTGAATGAAAGTATCTCTCCTCTTAGGCAGATAACCACCACGGCTTTGCTATATTCAAATAAGCTAATACGTTAATACATAAGCCATAAAACATCGAAGCAATCTACGAGTTGCTGGGTAGTGAACATCACATTGCACTATTGGTAACAAGCTCCATGAATGACTTTCTAGGTTTCCCCAAGGTGAGCTTTCTAAGGGAAACTGATTACAGACTTCAACCCTTCAGAGATGTAATAGTGGCTGTTAAAAATATAAATAATGTATACTAAATGTGGATGAAATTGAAATGCAGTGGATACTAAACAATAAAGTTTGATGTACAAGTGTTTTGGTGATACATTTTGCAGGAATCACTTATGCTGTTGCTATGGTACCACCAGACATATATGTGACCATTGTGTTGCAGATAAAAGTGGGATTTATCTTCTCACATTATGTCGTGTCCCTTCATCTGTAGAATTCTAAGTCATGCTGCAATTGCACAGAATTGTAATAAAAAGTCAAATGTAGCAAAGGAAATAAAAACTGCTGCTATGGATGAAGCTGAATCATACATGAATAAATGGGTTATTCTGCAATACACACTAATTCTTGAGTGAGGATATGAAATACAGTTGAACCACCTCTAATAACCATGCACACATGGATGTTTACTCTTTCACTAACTGGCATGACAGCACTACTGAGATCAATCATACTGGTAATTGTGTACCAACAATGGCATTTGTCTATTGCTATGGTGACATTCTGTTTAATATGAGCAGCAATTTCTCAGGTATATAATTTTTAATCTTAACAATCTACAGTCTATCCACAATCAAAGGTAATTTTAAAATGGCATAGAACATTAGTGCTAAATGCCTATGGGAATGGATGCTTTCATTGAAGAATTTCTATGGCAAATTAGTTCATGTTCACATTAAACATGAAGAAAATGTGTAAACCAACAATGCAGCCAGGCTGGGTTCGACCATCCACAATCAAATGTATACACACTGGCCAACGAATTATAAACCGTTGAGATTTTCATTTAAATGCGTGCTAGAAATAAAGTATGCAAGATTTTTTTTTTTACGATGTGGGTTACACATGCTTAAAATGCAAGCATAAGTAATGTGTAAGAGTGCTTTTCTCGAAGAATGAAGTAAAATGAGAAACAGACAGATTTTTCGCCGTTTGAAAAAGGGCTTATTGTTGGTGCCAGTTTAGCAGGGGGCCTCGATTCTGAGGATGACAAATCTCACTGTGTTCTCAAACGCAGCCATATCAAAGGTTTTCAAAAGCTGGAATCAGAACCCACAGTTTATCTCTAGAAGATGCAACTGCCATTCGACCACAGTTTTCCACGACAGTGATCGGCATCATCTCTGACAAATTGTATGGCAAAGCAGGGACTCTACTGTGCTTCAACTGACACAGATCATAAACCAAGGCTCTTCCCAGCAGATTTCAGCTCGAACTGTGTGCAGAGAATATGAATGCATAGTTAGGTACCTGTGAGAAAACCACTCATTTCTGCTCAACATGCACGAATTTGTTTGCAATGGTTTCAGGAAAGACACTGGACATCTGAGGGTTGGAAATGGGTATCGTGGTCAGATGAATCATGTTACACCTTATTTTGCACTGATGAAAGACATCAAATTTGGCAAAAATTCAATGAATCCATTATGCCTTACTCGCACTGTGAAAGAGTCTGATGCGAGTGTCATTATATGTTCTGCCAGCATGGAAGTGATGCTCTGGTGTTCCTCGAGGGTAAACCAACAGCTATGAGATACCCAGATACACTGGCACATCAAGTGCACCCTTAAATGTTGCATTTTTACTGTGATAGCAATGGATACTTCATGGACCAGGTGTTCAAAATTGGTTCGCTGAACACCAGTCTGACTTCCAACAGCTTGCCTGATCACAGTACAGCCCGGGTCTTAACCCCATAGAAAATGTATTGGAAAGGATGGAAAGATGCATCTGACAGAACTCTCCTTTTCCATCTAATTTAGAAGATATAAACAATTGCATAGCCAATGAATGGTACTCTCTGGACGTAAATGCACCCCAGAAGCATGTAGATACGATGCCCAAATGAATCTGAGCAGCTATCCATGCAAAAAGTGGTCCAATAAAATATTGATCTTGGGTTTCTAATTCATTGGCCAGTATATGTATGCCTGCCATATTGTTTGTTGAAGTAAAACTCAAAAAACCTATTTTCTAATCAAGTAATATCAACAAAATGACTTTGAACATGAGACAAGAATATCCCTGCTGTTTGATGTTTGCATTCCTTCAGATGATAAGTATTTTCAGTTAATGTTTTAAATGCATCATGGATTTCTGATACAGTACTTTATATTTAAATTTGTTTCTTTCAAATAAAGGAAACAGCATAATAGAGTAATATAGAAGATAAAGATATACATACACACCATTAACTTATATTTTAAAATAAGTTTATAGTGAGTAACATTCATTGGTTTCATATAAAATAAATTACTAAATTACATAGTTCACGAGAAAATGTGCTAGGTCTAGATGCCTGAATGGAATGCCTAAATGGAAGTTACAGAGATGCATCTTAAATTGCCAATGTAATGAAATAAAAAACAAAATATATTAACCGATTTGGGGAAAAAGAATTTTTACACATAAAATGTTTTAAATAATTTCACTTTAGATAAATATGAAGTATGAATATAAATTTTAATTTATAAATTAAGAAATTAGTTATATGTAAAAATAAAAAAATTGGTGATCAATGAAATACATACCAAATCTAAAATTTTACGAAGTTTCACAGGGGGAGGCCCATTCCATGGGGTAGGTATATGGCTCGTGAAAATAACTCTGGAATTTCCAACAACACCTTCTTGAGTTCTTTTGGCGCTTGCTAAAAAAATTTTTCAGTAGGTGTTTCAGAAGTTAAGATGAATTACATGTAAGAGTTTGCTTAAATGATATCACAAAGATTATATATGTTTGCTTAGTGGAATACTGAAAGCAGATAATGGCTAAATGGGAAAGGATGCCTTCTCGTGGAATTTAGGGGAATTTAGCTTATATTTACATTACACAAGAGTTAAAGACAAAAATATCTTTGTAGCTAGCCAGTTTACATGGATTTAACCCTAGATCATTTGACCTACCAGTTTTACTTACCATACATATTTGGGTACTTGTGCAAACAAGGAAGATTATGAATGCATGAAAGTAAAATAAAGACATAGATAATAATAATAAAAATGTTTATATTAGTTCAATTAGCTTCACATCTCTATTATAGGCAATAATGTAACAGTCTGTATGGATTTAAAAACACAGTTGCTATTGTGATGCAGTGGTCAATATACTAGTCCTGTTATTTTAAGCCCTGGGTTTGAGTTTCTGGCAAGGTACAAGGAAGACTTTAAGAAATATTATAACCAACCTGGATTAGTTGATTGGAAAGTCATTCCTCTTCCCAGGCTGTACTTTAAGTAGGAAGAAAAATGTAAGTTAATTAAACACACATGCATTTTTATAATGAATACTCAACAATGAGGTCTGGTTTGTGCTGAGAGTAAAGTGAAATCAGTAAGACTCCTCACCTTAGAAAATCCTAATATGATTAGAAAAAAACTACTGCCATGCACGATTCAAGCAACTAAAAAACAGTTTATGGAAATGAGAATGTTTTAACTTCTTATTTGATATGACTATTTTATAGAACTATATTGATTAGTCAATTACTAGAAGCAAAAATTAAATACCTAATATAACATTTTGAAATACTGAATATTGTCTACAATTTCATTAAAAATATAAAATTAATGACATGCCCATATACAATGTACAAAATATAAAGCTTTATGTTCTTCAGATGTGGATTTACATATATTTATAGCTTTGAAAAAAATTTCTAATCATTTGGTTTCTTTAAATTAGATAACACACTGTTATTTGCTAATATAAAACACCAGTAGTATTAGAAAATTATCTGTTACAATCAAAGAGATAAAAAGTTTCTGTAGAAGTTTTTTTACAATGCATTACATAAAAATTACACAGTAGAATAACATAAAGTCCATTAACCCTCTGACCATGAGTACAAATTTAACAAAAACACAGAATTGGATTCAAATGAAATCATAAGGTTATGAAAAAATAGCAGTTCTACTGCATTAATGTATTACAATATTTAAGCACTAATGTTATAAAACCATTCCCCACATAATATTCAGGATAAACAGTCAACACACTATTCACAGATCCCATATGAGAGGGTTAAGGCTTAGATATAACAAATCCATTTTAATTTATTGGGACACAGATTAAACGAATAAAGTACATGAAAATGTGCTGAAGCACATCTAAACTTAATAATTGTGGCAAATATAAATTTTAACTTATAAATCTTGAGAAATATATTCACTAAAGCACTCAGAAAGACACAAACAAAAATCAAACTTTATTTTAATAACTTACCAATAGCCAAACTTAAATCACGTCGTAATACAAAACCAACCAAATACTGAGATTCTGTTGACACTATCACTGGAAATCCATTATGGTCAGTTGTATTTAAGAGAGTCTCTATGTAAATTAAAAAAAAAAGTAAGACTTAGAGGCACAATAAACTGATAAAATTTTACTTTAATAAAATGCATGCAAATATAGTGTTAAAGAATATATACTTTATAACTAAATTCACTAAATTTAGTTATAAAATATATTAACACAAAAGAAAAAAATTCTGCACAAATAAATGAAATGATAATTCTGCGCAATGATAATAATTCTCTAATAATAATAAAATATTGGATCATCAAGTAAGTTACTACTGATTCTATTACCCTTCAACTGTTTAAAAAACGATCTCCTTTTTTGAAGATGATTTTTACTACATCATATGCGTTTTGACAGAAGTTCAGACTCTCTAAAAAGCGAAGAACACTCAGCTTTGCATTACTTCTTATATTAAAACAGAACTTCAATTCAGGAAAATATGACTTCTTTCACTTTCTATACTGGTACATCAAGTTTTGATGGTTCCTCAAAGTCTATATATGTCTTAAAGTGATGCATCTTATCTGTTCCTTAGAAAAAATGATATATGAACAGTTATGAAAGAATAACTTCCTTTATATTAAAGCCATAAAATTTTGTGCACCTTAAATGATATCTGAAGAAACTGGTGGAGCAAACATGATAGCTTAGGGAAAAAAAAAGGGGGGGTTCAGAGTTCTTACCTATGTTTCATATTAATTCCAAAGTTATTTTTCTTGTCTCTGAAGTAAGAATAATTTAAGATAATGATGCAGCACAAAGGCAAAAATAAACAAATCAATATTTTCTGAAATACAGACTTCACTGGATTTCAGAAAATATTGAATACTGTATTGTAAACGTTACATTTACAATACATCCCTCAATGTTCAACTGATATACAGCACATAGAAGGTCGAGACAACATCGTTGCAGATTTCTTATCTAGAATTGAACAAATTATGGGTAAAGAATCACAAACTTTACAGACATTAGCAATTTTCTTGAACAGTATCCACTACCTTTTTGGAAATGTTTGTGGTGTGAAACTTCAACGAATAATATCAGACCATACATCCCCAACAGTTATTGGAAGAAAATATTTCATCAAATGCATAACGCAGCCCATCTCTAATAAGAAAGGAAGAAAATATTTCATCAAATGCATAACGCAGCTTTACAGGCATCTGTAAAGCTCTCATCATCTAAATTTATTTGGCCAAGTATCTGTAAAGATGTGCAGCGTTGGACTCTATCTTGCATGGCTTGCCAAAAATGTAAAATTAATCGACACACAAAATCAAGTTTTGGTGATTTTCAACTGCCTTCAGAAAGATTTTGTGATGTGCATATTGATCTCATTGTACCCCTACCTCCATCCAAATGGGAATATTTACAAGCTCACTTACATTGACGGGTACTCTAAGTGGATGGAAGTAATTCCACTTAACAACATTTCAGCAGACACAGTTACCAAAGCATTTTATTCTACCTGGATTTCAAGATTTGGTATGCCGTCGCCTAGTCACAGATCATGGAGCGCAGTTTAGTTCAGAGTTGTTCAATAACCTACCAAAAATGTGTGGAATAAAACTGCAACATAAAATGGCTTACCATCCCCAAGCAAATGGGAAGGTAGAGCGCCTCCATAGATCTCTCAAGTCTGCACTTATAGTACACAAAAGCCTGGCCCTGGAGTAAAACACTTCCAACTGTTCTTGGCTTACGCACAGCTATGCAGGAAGACTATTGCTCAAATGGTTTATGGACAAAATATACGATTACCTGGAGAATTTTTCCAAGATAGCACAACTCCTACACCACCTGATATTTTTGTCAAGCAAGGGGAAAAAAAAAAACAACTATGGAACAAATTGGACCCAGTATCCATTAAATATTCATCCCTAAAGACTTAAAGACAACATTATGTCTTTATTTGCAAAGATAGTTTAAAAGCAATTAGAACCTCCTTGCGATGACCCTTTTCAAGCGATTGACAGAAAAAAAAAATATTTTACGGTAAAAATCACAAAGATGTTACAGTGTCTATTGATAGATTAAAGCCTGCATATTTCTTGCAAATACCAGATGTTACTACAAAGCAATCAATGTCAATAAGACAACCTGTCAAACCTCGAACAGACTTGCCTTCTAAAATTAAAATGCTTCCTGCAAAACAGATGCACATAAGACGAACAATAAAACCACTTGTGTGATTTCAGGATTATTTCAATTAAGTGTATCAATAATATTTTTTGTAAATAGTGTGTTTTAAAGGTAATAATATACTATACTATAACTTAGAAGTTGTAGCTTGAACTTGTATAGAAATTTTAAATAATGATTAATATCATTTTTTTGTTTTGTTTTTTTGTTGTTTTGAGAATTGCAGCAAAAAGATTATTCAGCGTTGTTGTTCTAAAGACTTGTTTACGGTTGCTAAAAGTTTTAATAAAGATTATTTTTGATTTCAAAAGTGGATTAAAGATATTTGAAGAAACAGAGTTCTAATTGTAAAGATCAATTTTGGAGTGAGGAGCCAATACATTAATCCCCTGAACTGACTATAATACATTCATACCCTCTAGCAGAGATATTGACTTCCTTATTTCCTTTAAAGTTTTTGCATTTTTGTAAAATTTTATTTTGTTCATCACATACTGAACATCTTTAGAACATGACAAGTTTCTATTAATACCCTAAAATTAAAAGTTGTATAACAGAAGTTGTATTTGCAAGAAGAGGCACTAATGAGACAGAAATATGTGTGTGCTGCACAGATACCTAATTAATAAAACTATTTTTTTCATTTTTCAGTTTGCTGCCCCATTCCAAAATAATATTAGTGAAAATACTACTTGTTATCCATGAGTTCTTGCTGCTACAAACATCAAGGTTTTCTGCTTTTTGCAGTGACCAGTGCTGCCTTATTAATTTTTGGGTTCACATTGCACATTCATAACACAGTAATTAATTCGCACAGTTTCTTAAACCAACTGCTGTTTCACTTTTAAATGTTAACGTGTGTTCTGGTAAAGTTCTCTATTATGGCCCAGTTTAATCTGTATTATAAATTTTGTATGGCTTGTATTCATTTAGCAGTCCAAGTAAAGTGTATCATTATCAGTTGCATGATGATCTGTTTCTGAATTCTCACCAAGCAATTTCTGCTGAACAAAGTGAGATTTCATTTTCTGTAACTTGTTAGCTATTAGACAACTGATATAAAAAAGCTCGAGAAAGAGAAATATTTTTTAGCTTTCTAGATTGACTCCCTTCCAGAAAAGCAATTTCAATGTTTGTCAATGTTCTGTCCTTTTTTTTTTTTAATATTCTTGAGACATTTACATTTTTTTATTAGCCCTTCCTTAATTATAATTCCTTTTTTTTATGTAACTTGCACAATGCTGGTGGGGAAATTTCCAGTTCAAATGCAGTTTTTCTCTGGCCATAAATAACAAAAACATTAAAATCTTTTAACAATTCATCCTTTCCGTTCAGTCTTTTTCCTTGGCATATCGATAATGTTTTGAGCTGATGCAGGAGTAGAGTGATGTTAGGTTCTAGAATGTAGGGGAAGCAGAAATAGTCTTCAGTTTGAAATGTGAAAGAATGCTTTCAGTTTTGCATCTATCCCTGTGTGTTTTCCTGCATTTTAATAAAATGTTTTCATGTTTTCGGAATGACTTTCTTCATGGATTTTCCAAACATTCTGCAGCGGGTAGATGCAAATCCATGAATTTTTTCTTCTCAACATAAGAATGTAGTACCCTCACCACGATGGGTGTTTTGAATGTAGAATCTTGAAGTTTGAATTACCCTGCAGATGGATTTGACATTATTAAAGGCGCAACGGAAGCAACTGAGGATGCCATCAACTCTGAGTCCAATTCTCCAACAATCATGAAATGGCTTGATTTCACATATCAACAGCTGGAAAAGATGGCCAATCTTTCAGGATATTAAACGACATTTTAAGAATGCTTGAAAGATGGTATAATTGAAATAGTTTCAGAAGCTGAGCTTTTCCACCATATTATTTCCTCGGAAACAGTACAACTTCGTAAGTTTTTATTGCAAGGTCCAAAAAGTTATGAGTTTCACGAAAATTTATTATGAGTTTTTTGAAAAAAAACAAATACGAGGGTTGGAACTTTAATAGTGGCAACACAGCTGAAAAAGCTACGCAACAAAACTGAATATCCCACACGTAAACTACATACCTACCTTACCTCTCAGCAAAAAGACTCGTCCTGCCTACGTCACACGCATGCGGAGTGACGCAAGAATGGATCCTTGTATTAGCTCGCGGTCTAAAGTAAGTGTTGTCAAGATGTTTTCAAAACAAGAACAACGTGTTGGATAAAAATTAAATGTGCCAGAGGTCATACAGCACGACAGTGTCATCAAGAGGCTTGCGGGGAATCTGCATTGCCTTACAGAACCATAGCAAGATGGGTGAAAGCATTCAATGAAGGACGCCAAAACGTGGCAGACATGCTGCGGCCAGGTCGTCCGAGTGTCAGCGATGCAGACGTGCAAGCTGTTGACGCACTAGTGGACAGTGATTGCCGCCAAACGGTTCATCAGCTGGCTGGACAAACAGGATTAGCGCATATGACTGTGTTGCACATTCTGAAGGAATGCCTGTCCATAAGAAAAATTGCTTCACGATGGGTTCCACATCACTTGACGGAAATGCAGAAATGGCTACGATACAATGCTGCCAGAACCCACCTGGAGCGCTATGAGCGCAAAGGAGATGCTTTTTTACGGCATGTCATTACGCTGGATGAGACTTGGGCGCGATCGTACCAGCCAGAACTGAAACGCCAATCAAACGAATGGTGTCATCACAGGTCACCACGACATTCGAAATTTCGTCAGAACCCCAGCAATGTGAAAGTTATGGTGATTATCATGTTCAACTGTGATGGTGTCATTCTAACACATACCGTTCCCCCACAGCAGACCGTCACTGCGCAGTATTACTGCTCATTTTTGGATCACAATCTCCGACCAGCTTTGAGAAAAAAACGGCGACACTTTCTGCAGAACGCTCCTCTCATTTTGCGTGACAATGCTTGGCCGCATGCAGCGCAAGCTGTGACTGATTTGTTCAAGCGATGGGGCTGGGAAGTGCTTTACCATCCACCATACTCCCCAGATCTAAGCCCATGTGACTATGGCTTAATTCCTAAGGTGAAGGAACCACTTCGTGGCACTTGCTTCCAAACTGTTCCTGAGATTCTTGCGGCAGTAAACCGGTCCATTCAAACTATTAACAAAACAGGTGCTGCTACAGGTATTCTGCGACTTCCACATCGTTGGAAACGGGTTGTACACAATGCTGGCGACTATATTGAAGGACTGTAAAACATGGTGACATGAATCACTTTTGTATTCCTTGTAAATAAATAGTTGCCACTATTAAAGTTCCAACCTGATTATTAAGAGAAAAAAAAAAAAAAAAAAACTTTACGATTCACAAAAAAAGAAAATATTTCATTTCTGTTGCCAGGGATTTTAATTTCTCCATTGCACTCTTTCTGTTTATTTAAGAGTAAAATCATGTGAAAGGTTAAGCTTGAAAATAAAAGACAGTCACATTCTATTCTACAAAAACTAAGATATCTTTCATGTTGATAATGGCATGACCAGTGTGGAAAACCAAACAGGTTTAGAACATAATGGTTTGAATGCTTGCGTACCTGAAACTATCAAAACAAACATTTTGGAGCTATTGGAAAGAGAAGCCTGTACCAAAGGAAAAAGGAATTAGGCCAGGAAGCATAGCAATTACGGAAGATGAAGCTGTGACTAAAAGAATACACCTGTCATCTCTTAATCAAGTGCTTGATCTCACAGCATTTACATGCCCTGTTAATGCTACATAAATTTTTATTGCAGTCGACCTGGGAGACTGATATAGAAGAATTTTTGAAGTGGATGAAAAACTTAGTATATTTAACCAATATAAGGATACTCAGATAGTTTTGCAGAAATGGTGAAGTTAAACTGAGTTTGCATATTTTCTGCGATGTGAGTCAAGCAATATACACTGCCACAGTATTTATAATCTGTAGAACTACAGAGTAGCTAAGATCCTGGTGATGGGAAAGAAAGATAGATGTTCTTAAACTACTATGAAGAGAAGTTCTTGACAAAGCATTGCTGGAATTTGAAGATTTGCAAACAATTCTTTGTGACTTTAAAGCAATCATTAGCATTTGAATTCTAAGATTTTTCAAGATCACAGTAATCCAGTTCTATTGACTCTAAATATGCCATTCAATAATGCTGAAAAGCTAGATCCATGACCTAGACGTAGTTGAAGCTCAGGATCAGAACAAATGTTTGAGGTACTAAGATTTCACAGTGAATATTTAGGCCAGCTCAAGATGGAGATCTATAAAAGATTGTCAAACAACATAAATATCGAAGATATTCCTTTCCTTTAACCCCCTCAAGACGGGTAGCGAAAACGCGCGCTTATCGTGGAGGACGGCAGTGTCTTACGCGAGCGTCTCTCCAGGGCCGGGGGGCTTTTTTGCTACTAAGCCTAAATCCATGAAATTTCCGAAGTATCAATGCATTGTTTAATAATGCTCTATAGAGTATTTAAACGGCTTATGCTTTATAGATATTTATATATATATATATACTTTAATTACCTTATTTCTTGTTTAAATGCATATTTTACACATTTTATTTTAATTACTCACCATTTTATGACTTTTAACATTATACATCTGAAAAGTAAATATATTACTTAAAATTCTCTTTTCGTATGAAAAATTTGAAAACAGGGATCTACACACAGTCCTACATTACATTCCTTGCACTCGTAATAACTCATTTGCCGTTTTGGAGGATTTTTCCGGGAATGTGAACAAATGAAGCATCGTCGTCTCATTTTCTTATCAGTCTCTTCTGAACAAAGTTTTGGAAAATGTCTTTCAGTTAATCTTTCAGAATCAATATCAGAATATCAGAATCAATATCTGAAATATTTTGCATCATTTCTGCTATTTCATGCTCTGTTAAAAATTTTCGACGCTTCGACATTGCAACGGTAAAAACAGAAAGAATTCACGTCTAACAAGATCTAATTATTTTCTAAAAACTGAACTGCAAACCGAAATACTCAACGCTTTAGCGCATATAAAACTTCTACTTACAATAAACAACTACCACATGCGAATAAAAGTGCGATTTAAAGAGACGTCATAAATCACGCCATTCAGAAACATTTAGTTCCCCGTTTGTTTATATAATCAAAAACACGTGTATGTGAGTCATGCTTCTCTCATTTCGAGTAGAAGGTCTAATGTACATGTATCTGAAACCATATGGACATACAGTGCCATCTTGTGGCAGAAATTATGTTTGAAAAACATTCCAGGACACTGGCACAAATATGTGACAGTCGGTAGTAAACGGGAAAATGCTCTGGCACGCCTGCGTGTCAGCCGGGAGGTGAGTGTGTTCGTTGCTGGCACGTAGACTGACAGTCGGCGCGAAGGGGTTAAAGATATAATAAAAAAACATATTTAGACTGGTCATTAGCCAGAGTGTAAATCTCAAGGTATGGGGGTAAAATTAGAATTGTGCACCATTGGGCATATCACTACAGGCAATTCACAAAATTTATCTTTCGAAATTGTAGAAGATCAAGATGTTATTGAATCAACAAAAGACCCAGTTTAGTTCAAAAGTGATGAAAATAAAATGAATACAGAATAGGTAAAACAGCTCTGTGACACTTTCTCAAAATTATCTGCATGCGGTTGTGAAATTAGAATTCCTAGGACCTTGAACTTATAAAATTATTAGTAAAGAAATCAAAGTACAGTATCTTTAGTAATTGAAATTCATACTTTATTTAAGTATCAGTTTTTTTAAAGAAATAAGGATTTAATGTTGAAATTTATGTAGACTTCTAGGAATTAAGTTAACTAGAGGTGATAGAATGTTAGTTATTGACAAGCTATACTAGTTTTTTGAATAGTTGTTACTTATTACAGACTGGAAACTGCATTGAATTCTCTAATCAATGATAGATAAAATTTTTATTCTTTTGGAACCTGCATTGCTATAAATAAAACTTATGTTCTGTTGTTAAAAGCAGTTATTTCCTGCCACTCAGATAAAATTAACTTAAAGTCAGGAGTGTTCATTTTCCCAACAATAATACAGGTTATTCCTTTTCCCTCTGCTTTATTAACAGCTGTTGGATAAACTCTGTTATTAATAACAGGAGATTGCACCCAGTATTACCCTGATTATTCAGGAGTTTACAGTACTACATAAGACAAAAACTGCAGAAACACCTCTAAAGCAAATATGTTATTTCATTCAATGAGCAAAGCAAAATATAATTGAGAATGAGTCATAACTGATTTTTATATTCTTTGAAATGTTCAAAAGGCAACTTTAACCATTTGATAAGAAAGAAAATATGAAAGTTAAATAAAAAAGTTACAGAAGCATAGTACATACATTTATAACTATAAAGAAACCATATGCAATAATATTAAAAAATTAATGTACCTATGTTGTCCACTGTCATACTGTCTTGAGTAATGACACACAAAGGACCTTCATTCCTCCTATAATAATAATTATTTAGTTTTGTAGTTACTGTGTATTTCAAAGTATATATATATATATAAAATCTACTGATGAAAACATCATTATCTATTCAAGCAATAAAAATTCGGAAATACATATTCCTGCAATAAACCTAAAAGATTCATATGTTTGAGAAGTCAATTTGCAGGGTTGCTATTGTATCTGGATACTAAAGTTAAGTCTTACAAACCCCATTAGACAAGACAGTGAGTTACTGTTATACCTTAAATAGTCACAAAATACTGAAAAAGGTTTAAATTAACCTTTTAATTTTAATTGAAAATTAAACATTAAAGGCACAACTTGTGTTAAATATGAACAATCACTTGTGGCAATACAAATTAAGAATAACACGCAATTATTTTACCTGTACATAAGTTTAAAACATTACTAGCAAAAATACCAAATCCGGAATATTACTTCCAATGAAAGCTGACAAAAAAACTAACATGAAAATAAATATGATCGAATGTACCTGCAAGAGTAAAATTACAGAATTTTGCAGCTGTGAACAATTGAAGATGCTTTTATTCAACAAAGATACCTTCCATACTACTATTCTCATTTATCTATAGCTTTGTATAATGTACATATAAAGGAGTCTACTCTGATTAACAGCAGAACAAGAAAATATTGCTTACAAGGTCTAAAAAATGCCTTGCACATTACAATAAAGTATAGAGATATAGATCGAATGTACCTGCAAGAGTAAAATTACAGAATTTTGCAGCTGTGAACAATTGAAGATGCTTTTATTCAACAAAGATATAGTTATTCACTATATCACTCTTTCCATAATCTAACTTTACACTTGTCATTCTTAATATAAATATCTCATGAAAGGAGATTTTAAGTGCCTATAAGCCACAACAATTTTACAATTAAAAATTTACTTCCCCAACGCAAGTTTAGATCTTGTGCATATTATCATAACTAGCCCTCGTTACAACTAGGGTGGCACAGTTATTGAAATTCTAAGGTGGAACTAGGTAGTTTTGTGGATCAAATAGAGCAAACAACTTTGTAATATGATCGAATGTACCTGCAAGAGTAAAATTACAGAATTTTGCAGCTGTGAATAATTGAAGATGCTTTTATTCAACAAAGATATCTTCCATACTACTATTCTCATTTATCTATAGCTTTGTATAATGTACATATAAAGGAGTCTACTCTGATTAACAGCAGAACAAGAAAATATTGCTTACAAGGTCTAAAAAAATGCCTTGCACATTACAATAAAGAATATCAGTATCTGTTGCAATTGTAACTGTGCATAGTGCAAGATTTCAACTTGATTACAAAACAGATTAAAATGGAATGATAGCAGTCCTCATCATGCTCATTGGCCACAGGCTATGGTGCCATTTACAAGCACAGTGTAACAAAAAAGGCAAGAAGTTGAACGTGCTTCTCAATAAAAAAAGACCATAGGTGCTAGGCTTGCTGAAAATGCAAGTCTCAATAATATAACTATAAAATTATTTAAGATCTGAACTTATTGACTACTATGTTTTAAGTATGCTGTTAACTTTCAAAATTTTCTACAACTCCCTAGGTGACACATCACTACATGAAACAGTCTGGGTGGTAATAACTTGCCAGACCCATTCATAGAGTTCTAAGATGTCACACCTAAGTTATCCAGTTTTAGAGTACAACATATGTAAATATAAATACCATATGCAGAATGTAGTTGCACCAACCAGAATGGAGAAGAATGACATCCAGACTGAAAAGTTTACAAGTGGTAATATTGATGCCAGTATATTAGGCTGAGTTATCAGTAACTGTGAGGGGATACAGCAGGAGACTACGGTGCAGCACAATAATGAAAGAGAATCAATCCTTCATTCATATTTTATCATGATTTTAATCTTTCAGATTTACACATCCATAACTTCTATGTTTGCCTGAATCAATGTCAAAGGCTGAAGTCCATCACCTGCTTTGACAGCAATCAAATGGTAAAACACAACCAGCACTGACATTCAGGAAAACCATTCTGTGATACATAGTAACATGATAACACAATTTCATACTGTATGACTTCAATCAAAGTTTTGGTTTAAATCAAAGCTGACACTCTCACACACAAGAAAAAGAAGAAACTTCTTTCTCAAAAAGGGCTGCGCTCTAAACTGTTCACAGATGCCTAATGTAGTAGAAAAGTGATTTCATATATCAACTGGTAAGTTGTCTTATACTATCAAACTTGAGTTACTAAACATGGATCAAGGGACTATATACCTAAACTAAGTGACATTGGCTATCATCATACTTGCAATTCTCTACATGAAAGAGTAGTAGAACAGACATATTAATAAAACAGAACTGCCTTACGTAAACATACCTTACAAAATTTATATTATGCTGTCAATGTCTGAAAATTGAGAATTAATTTTATTTGAGTGCTCTGTAAAAAGGTACATGATATCAATGACTATAAATATTTTTAAGAACAGTATATTTCATTTAAAACAACACAGGAAATGCTTTCATTAAAATTTGAAAAACTGTTGATTTAAAAATCAAAGTTTAATTAAATGACAATTTAGAAAATATAAATTACACTGAATAATTAAATAGCCAAGTTCAGCAATTCTAATAATTTCTGCCTTTGGTTTTATAGTATGAAAATATGCACAATATTTTAAAATTATTTCTTACTTGCTGTAAAATAAATGAAAGAATGCTGATGATTATTATTATTAATGCAATGCACATTCATATACCAAAAATACACCATAAAGAAATTAAAAACATATTTATAAATAATGATGTTTTCGTTGCATTTAAGGATAAAGGTAACTATTTCAGAGCATAATAAATTACTGTATTTGCCGGTATATAAGATGCATATTTTTTGTTTTAAAATAGGTCAGAAAAACGGGGTGCGTCTTATACATGGATACTCACCTTTTGATTACATTCATTTCTGGAAATTTCCCCTATTCAGAGTGATGGGATTTTTTTTTGTTTTCCTTGCGGAGTGTGGGAATATTACAGATACATAAAGTTCAGTGAATGTGCATGCATTGTCATCGATGATCACAGCAGGATTCATTTGGGCTTTCCAATTTTTGTGGACGACTTGTGTGTGAAATTTCTACAGTTCAATTTTCTTAAATTTGTTGGCAATTTATGGCTCAAAAACAATGTCGGTATTGCTATAACATAGCATACAAGCTATGCGTGATTGCAACATGGAAACAGGGCTGCAGAGAGGCATTTCGAGCCACCCATAACTGAGAAAATGATAAGAACTTGGTGGAATCAAGAAGAGGATCTAAAAACACAACTCGTAGATTGGGTATTTGAAGAAAGCATTTCTTTGTATTTGTATTACTTTACATTTAAAATACTGTAAATTCATTTATAAAATCAGTAATAAAGTTTTATCCTTCAAAAATGTGTATAAAAAAGGGGGTGCGTCTTACAAGACAGCAAATACGGTAATTGCTCTCCTCAGTTACAGCAAGACATGCACGCATACCAGCTTATAAATCCATACATATATTTGCATTTAGAAGCTATAATTTATATATATATAAATTTTTGGTTATTTTAATAATCTCCAAATTCCATGCAAATGCTCATATTGCTTAATTATGAGCAGTCATATATATAGAGACCTAAACAAAGGAAATGATGAATTTAGTCATAAAATTTTTTTCTCTGATTTTCTGAAATGAATATTTAATATTTCATGATGCTGTAATGCTCTAAAATGCAAATAATTTAACATAAAAATACTTACTTTGGTCTCATTACATCAGCAGCTAAAGTTGTATGAGTAAATTCTTCTTTACTATCCAAAAACGGATATCCATTTAAATGAATATGTGCATCATAGCTGTTTAATACTCAGAAAATTAACGCCTCACACAAACACTATTAAATACAGTAATTTTTTCACTATTAATAAATCATTCACTTAATATAAAAGTTAGCATATTTCAGTTTATCAGAAGAAGGATAGTTCTACCATCGCAGAGAATCATCATGATTTTATGGTTTTCATACTATTTTAAACAAGAGCAGCTTCCGATGCAAGAACTTTAATTAAAAATATTTTAATATGAATATGGTTCTTATTCATAAAATTAACTCTTTATATATAATAGTCATGTGGAAAATAAATCGTGGAACCGTGAATGGAGTCTTAAGAAAATTTCACTGTACATTACTAGAAACTACATTTTAAGTTTTCATATGTTAAATGCTGTGCAAGTTGAAAATGACCTAAACATATAAAGGTCAAAAAGTGAAAAAGTTTTCAAAAGAACAGACTCCTGGAGAAGGCCAGGTTTCACCCTTGGTTTTCAAGCCAATGAAGAAGAAGGATATTGTATTGAGCTTCGTACATACAGAAACTTTATTTCACTAAATGATAATGCTTAATTAAAAGCTAAACTATAATTAATACAAAATTCAATATAAAAAAGTTTATTCTGTCTAAAAAACTAGTTCATCTCTGTTCTACTTTTTCAAATAATCACAAAACTATATTAATATAACTATTCAGAAATTATTATAGAATATATTAGTGGAACTACTCTACTTTTTCAAGTAATTATAAATAAAAGAAGATCACAGTTATGCAGACACACAGTACTGTACAGCAAAATCAGCTAAGGATAAAATAAATGCAGTACACATTAAAAGCATTTTGATTTTTAATTAAAAAAAATTCCACGGCCTACATTTTATCACAGAATCCATGACAGAGCAAGCATTTAACTGAACAGTGTCATGCAGCAAAAATCTTTAATTCCAGAAAATGGTACAGGCATTGTTAAATTATATAAGCTTACTATTTAAAGCATATTTCAGTCCTCAAATGTTACATCATATTTTCAAAGATATTAGCTTAGGATTACTCATACTTAAAAAAATCTCTATTCTCATTGAGCTCCATTAAACACAGGATGCCAAACGTACTAATACTAGATCATTATGGTAACAAAGCTGATTATCAACACAATGGGTAGAATGGTTAAAAATGTCGAAAAAATCACTCATGATTACGAAATGTGAAGCTGACAACAACAGCAACAACAAAAAAGCCAATATATTTAAATTTCTTATAATTTGATTATTCAGGATACCACAAAAATTGTAAAGTATAGAAACCCTTACTAGCATGAAAAAGAGTCTTAATCATTTTCCATGAATAAATAAATCCAAGTCTACTAGAAAACACCCCCTCTGAGGATTATACTTTGAATGCAATTCCCCCCCCAAAGCATACATTATTCAACAGCCAATGCAGAGAAACTTACACCGAATTGAAAGATGAATTCGTAGTAGCATGATCTATGGAAAAGCATAAGCGAATGAAAATAAATTACCTTTAATCACAACAGTCATAGGAAATTCTGGTCGCGGTAATACCCTCAGACATTGACACTTAACAAAACAATTTAGAATAATTCAGAACTCTCAACATCAGATACTTGTTGAAGTATGTTTACATATAAGCTGAAGTATGTTTACATATAATGCAAATGTTACCCAGCAGATGAACATATTTTATGTTTCAGATACCAGCCTCCACTTTCATCAAGCCTAAATCTTCCAGCTGAAAATTTTTATGTAGTAAAACCACCTCTATCCATTTTAATGGCATCCCTCTCTGCATTAGTCATAGTTAATCTGAACCTACAATCAGATCAGGTCTATGAGTTTTGTGGCTAAGAAGCCAGGGTTGCTTTAGTCGTTGGCTTAGGCACCTTACAGGTGATGATACAATTTTAAAGGATAATGCCGCGAGAAACAAATTCGAGGTACTCCCACTGCTCTTCTCCTAATAACCTCTCAAGCAAAGTTTTAACACGACAGTATATTAAGTTCCTCATACTGCAAGATCACTATATACTTACAAGTAACCGCACCTCCGCCAAATTCAAACTCAGGCCAAAGGCCTCCCTACTCCTATCTGAAAGGGTACCCTCTATATTAGTTGCACATTATTGAATGTCTGGATGCAGCCCTTTCTCCAAATGCTTCACTGGACTGTCAGGCTTTGCTTCAAGAGTCCTTTTTGCAAGCGCCTAATAACAAAATTAACCCATTCATGTCGGGCACCTTTGTTACCGAAGCGTTCTCATGGGACGCTGTGTACCGGATGCGTCATCTTGTGGGGACGGGCAATTTGTGCTGCTAAGCCCAACTTTGGAAAAAAATTCGTATAAATTAAATTTTTCATCCAACTGTTCCAATTTTGGTACATTATGAGAAGAACATTCAGGTAATCGTCAGAATTAATTTAAAACCTTTATTATTATATTTTCCTTAAAAGTTTTATAAAATACTCATTCTAGAATAATATAATTTTTCCCTTATCCCGAAAACAAGTAAATATATGTGGTAGGGGAGTTGTGGATGCTAGTCTACAGTCCATTAACAAGTTCAACGTTTTCCACACTACAGAACATTTAATAAAATAACAGAAAAGGTACAGATTGAATTAAATACAAGTGCTGTTGCACCTTCTCGCGCTTGTTAGATATAAACACAGTTCTTTACCACTTTTAGAATTTAAATATCAGCTTAGGGCCTACTTGCACCAGCCAAAGGCCTCCCTACTCCTATCTGAAAGGGTACCCTCTATATTAGTTGCACATTATTGAATGTCTGGATGCAGCCCTTTCTCCAAATGCTTCACTGGACTGTCAGGCTTTGCTTCAAGAGTCCTTTTTGCAAGCGCCTAATAACAAAATTAACCCATTCATGTCGGGCACCTTTGTTACCGAAGCGTTCTCATGGGACGCTGTGTACCGGATGCGTCATCTTGTGGGGACGGGCAATTTGTGCTGCTAAGCCCAACTTTGGAAAAAAATTTGTATAAATTAAATTTTTCATCCAACTGTTCCAATTTTTGGTACATTATGAGAAGAACATTCAGGTAATCGTCAGAATTAATTTAAAACCTTTATTATTATATTTTCCTTAAAAGTTTTATAAAATACTCATTCTAGAATAATATAATTTTTCCCTTATCCCGAAAACAAGTAAATATATGTGGTAGGGGAGTTGTGGATGCTAGTCTACAGTCCATTAACAAGTTCAACGTTTTCCACACTACAGAACATTTAATAAAGATAATCAGAAAAGGTACAGATTGAATTAAATACAAGTGCTGTTGCACCTTCTCGCGCTTGTTAGATATAAAACACAGTCTTTATCACTTTTAGAATGTAAATCAGCTTAGTGCCTACTTGCACCACTGATGTATATGCAGTCAAGTTACCACCTTCGCGTGGAAACTACAGTTCCTTATTCTACACCTTCACGTGTAGACAGACATCTCACCACCTTCGCGTGGGATAGCAAAGAGTCTCTGTCATACTCCTCTTTCACTCGCTGCTGGCGCATCGGTGAGGCCCTCTGGTGGTTGTGTCGCACTTACGGATACTACAACTCGTCCTCCTGACACTTTTTCGTCCCTCGAAAACACGGATCAGCAACACTGGAACATCAAGACAGCACCTGAAAATAAATTTAAAAAAAACAAAAAAAAGAAAGCAAGAAGAACCACACATAGTTTTATATAGTAGAAGTCCACGGCTTCATGAGATCAGCTGCTGTAGTGGTACATCCAGGACCTTCATGGTGTCCCACTTTTTCCACCTGGTAACGATCTTTGCCTTTCCTCGCTGTTACACGATATGGACCGAAGAACTTTGGCCTTAACTTTAGACCACCTCCATACTGCGTTCTTTGTATGGCAACTAAGTCGTTCACATTGTATACTTGTGCCTCTTTTCTCTTCTTGTTGTATGTTTTTCTATTCTCTTCCTGAATTTTTAGAATGTTTTTCCTTGCTTCCTCTCTCATATCTTCTCGATCTTTCATCATAATATTTCTTTCTTCTTCTTCAAGAATTTCCATAATCTTTAAGTCCTCTCGATTTCTCATTTTAACACCAGTGAGAAGCTCAAATGGAGAACTCTTTGTGCTTCTGCTCTCTTAGTGCTGTTTAAGATCCTTTGTACATCTCCAACATATTTGTACCACTTGGTTGGATCATCTATGGATAATTTAGATAGGACTGGAATCAGAGTGAGATGAATTCTTTCCACTTGTCCATTTCCTCTAGGAACGCCTGTAGTTGTAAATATGTGCTGGATCTTCTCTTGACTACAGTAATCTTCAAAGTCTTTAGAGGTAAACGCCGTACCTTTGTCACTTATAATTCTCAAAGGATTACCGAAAGTTGATTGTTGCAGTTTCAGCTTCTGCAATGCCTCTTGAGCTGATGTAGACTTTACTGGATAGAGCCACACGAACTTTGTGAATGCATCAACCACGGTTAAGATGTGATTGTAGTTCTTATTTGTCGACGGTAATGGTCCTATAAAATCGATATGAAAAGTGCTCAAAGGAATACTATCTTTTGGTATGGGATTCAGCAATCCTTCACCCTTACCTCATTTTCTGTCGCACAAAATACATTCTACACAATTTGAAATAACTTGTTCAATTCGTTTTCTAAGGTTAGGAATATAAAAGTCGGTTTTCAGCAGATCTTCTGTTTTAGACACTGCGAAATGTCCCTTGTTGTGGATACTACGTATGATTTCTAGCTCTAATGCTTCGGGTACCACAATTAACTCACGACCACTGTCGAACTTGTATAATATTCCATTTTTCACTAGAAAATCTTTCTTTAGTCCTTGCTCGACTAAGGATTTTAGCAACTGGAAACGCTCATCACTTCTTTGCGCAGCTGCAATTTTGGCTGTAACTTCTCCCTGAGAACAAGTAACCATCATGACAGCGTTTCTACTTAATGAATCCACATGCTTTATTTGTTGCCCAGATCTGTGAACAATTTCATAGTCAAATTCTTCTAGAAGTAACGCCCATCTCGCCACTTTAGGAGTTAAATCTTTCTTAAACATGGTCTTCTGGAAAGCATCGCAATCCGTAACTATCCTGACCTTAGATCCTAAAAGGTAATTCCTGAATTTCTTTAGAGCTTCTACTATAGCTAAAACTTCAAGCTCATAACTAGATAGCTTCTCTTGTTGGAGACTCGTTTTTTTACTCATGAAGTAAATGGGGTGTAACTGTCCATCATCTGACTTTTGTAGCAATACAGCGCCGAAACCATGACTGCTTGCGTCTGTATGCAATTCTAATGGTGCTCCTTGTTTAAAAATATGAAGAACCGGACTTGTGGATAAAAGTTCTTTCAATTTATTAAATGCATCTTTTTGTTCAGGCCCAAATTTGAATTCTGCTCCGTTACGAAGAAGATCACTTAGTGGTTTCGCTATTTTTGAATAATTGGCAATAAATTTCCTAAAATACCCAGTAAGGCCCAAGAAACTTTGAATCTGCTTAAGGTTTTTGGGTTCCGGGAAATTTTGAACAGCCCTGGTTTTTTTCAGTAGAGGGGCGAATTGTACCATCCTCAATAACATACCCGAGAAATTCTATTTTTCTTTTCAAAAATTGGCATTTCTTAAAATTAATCTCCAAACCATATTCTTTGGCTACTTCTAAAACACGTTTTTTAAAACTTTTCTAAGCCTTCTGTTCTCATTTCGTGCTGGAATAATAAAATCGTCCATGTAAGTAACAACAGTGTCATCCCGAATTAAATCTCTAAACACATTAAAATAAATCTTTGGAACACACTAGGGGACGTGCACAAACCAAAAGGTGCTTTTAGAAATTCGTACAAGCCTGCATGAGTAATAAATGCCAAATATTTAGTGCAGTTTTCCTCCACTGGAACATGAAAAAAACCATTTTTTAAGTCTAATGTCGAAAAAAACCTTTGCTTCACCCAAACGATCTAAAACCTCTTCTACTTGTGCCATAGGAAAAGAATCCTTAACTATTTTTTTATTTAACTGCCTGAAGTCAACACAAATTCCGTGTCTTGCCCGATTTTTTTCTACACAAAACAATTGGCGAAGCATATTTCTGAACACGACGGCTTTATAATCCCATCCTTTAACCATTCATCTATTTGATTATCAAACAATTTTTTGGTCAGCAAAAGGAATTCTCCTCGAACGCTGAGAAACTGGAATTTCATCTTTTAATATTACTTTCATTTTTAAGTCTGTACTGCGCGGCTTTTTTCTAACGGTTTATACTCATTAATAAGAGTGGAAACAGTATTGCGTAATCCTTCATCTTTAATATGCCATAAATCTGTTTCGCTGTCTCCCTCAATGGCTGCAGAAATAAAAGACAAAAAAATTCCTTTCCGAAGAGACGGAATCATTTTCATATTGCGTAATCATCACTCCGGTCACAACAGATGTCAGCTTAGACAAGAAGGGGGGAAAAGCATTCTGTTATTAATCATCAACCATTGCTGCTTCTATCTCTTTTTGTTTTTTGTTTTCGCATAAAGAAAAAATAAACTTAGCCGTTTTCGCTTTAACCACGTGACCAAAGGTACTTTTGAGTTCTATACATAGATCCACTTGAATATTTTATTCGGAAAAAGAGGATTTCTTTACAACTATCAATTCACTTCCAGAATCTATTAAACATTTTACTTTTCTTACCATCAATCAACAGTTCAATAAATTCTAACTTATTTCTAGCTGCATTATTCCGATCCAATCTCTAACCCAGATACCTTTTTTTGGAGACAAACTTTCCTCCTTTTCCTAACCGTTTGGGACAATTTCTCGCAAAGTGAAATAATTCCCCTTTACTCCCACATAACATAGCAAATACGTTCTGGTTTTACTACTACCCTGATTTACAAACTTCCCTGAATCCTTGAAATTGCTCTGAGCTTTTCTAAGATTGTTTTTGGAAAAATTAAGCTTTTTATTTTCTGGAGTTTCGATTCGTGCGTGTTACTGGTATCAACTAAAGATTTACCCCTGGATGAATAAAATAAATCACATTCTCTTCCCAATTGATTAGGTGGGAACCAACTTTGACCCTCCCCCGAACACTAATATGTTCCTTTGTCTTAGAATCCAGAGTTACATACAACTTACCAGATATAATAAGATCACACAATTTCTTAAAGTCATCTACTTACAATAATAGAAAGTTGCATTGAGTCGAGACGCGAACTGAACATGGGATTCAGATGAATGTCTCTGCGCATTTTAAAAATTATTCAAACATTCACGCGGTGTTGGCTGAAATTCTTTCAAGATTAGAGTTTTTAATTTATCATAATCCGCGATTTCTTGTTCAGAAACATACGTTAAAACATTATTACATTTATCACCTAATAAATTAATCAACACTTCTGATTTTAACTCCACTGGTACACTTTTAGTAGTAAAAGCTTTCTCAAGTGACTGAAAAAACAAATGCAGAGCTTCCGGTTTCTGGGGTACAGCTATAGTTAGTGTTTTGACGCTTTTAATGATATCTTCAACACTAGTCTGCGCGTTTCTTCTATCACCCGATAATGATTGTGATTTTAAATTTTCTAGCTCAATCTGCTTCTCAATTTGAGCTAATTTAAGACGTTCGATCTCTAACAGATAGTGTTCATTACTTGTTGTAGGCGTCCGATCCTCGGCGATCGATTTGACGACGCCACGAACAAATTCAACGTTCGTTTTGAAGACATCAGAATTTTGGATAATTTTTTTAATGTCAGCTTTTTTGGCATTTTCTGGAACAGTCTCCCTGATTTGTTCCGCAATTACTATTAAATCACTTTTCTTTAAATTATTTAAGAAGCTCATTTTAGACACGAAACAAAAGTATCACTATCCTCAAGAAAGAAATAAAGCAAAGTTTTCACAGTACCTTCTCTGAAGTATCCAAATATCCCAACAGCCCGATTTCTGTGTAGAGATTTGAGGATGCTATCTAGTTTGGTTGGTTTATTTATTACGGCAAGCACACTAAGGCTATCTGCCTAAGGAGAGGGATGCTTCGTGGGCTTTCTAAGGGAAATGGCTCGATACACGTTACACATAGGCAACCAAGAAAACACCCATGCAGCCAGCCTGTTCGTGGGCCGTAAAAGTCCACCAACGTTTTCCACACCACAGAGCATTTAATGAAAATAACAGAAAAGGTGCAGATTGAATTAAATAAAAGTGCTGTTGCACCTTCTCACACTTGTTAGATATAAAGGCCGTTTTTTTATCACTTTTAGAATTTAAATAGCAGCTTAGCACTTACTCGCACTAACTGTCGTATATGCAGTTAAGTTACCACCTCTTTGTGGAAACATACACTTCTATATTCACCACCTTCACGTGTAGACCTACATCTTACCACCTTCGCGTGGGATAGAAGACTGACTGTCTATATGTCATACTCCTCTTTCAGCTCGCTCTCGCTGCTGGCGCATATGTGAGGCCCTCTGGTGGCTGTGTTGCACTTACGGATACGACATATATATGGAAAAATATCCACACAATTGTAGATTTTATTTAACACAACACATAAAATATTAAAACTGTCTTTTATAAAAATTCAATGTGCAAACAACAAAAGGGAAGCATTATTTCAAAAGAGTATATAAGTACCAAACTTCGTCACTATCGCAAAAGTCCTTCTTGGTGCTTCAATTTTTTTGTAAAAGAGTGTATTTTCCCATAACAGACACACACCTACATCTAGTGGCAACAAAAAATACTAATTAAATGTTCTATCTAAGAAGTCAAATGTGGTGCGCTCGGCCATATCGTTGAATTAAACGGCGATTGAAATATGACACACCCGGCCATGAGATAATGTTTGCTGCTGATTTGCATATGACACGCTCATTGTGAATGGGTTAAAAATACATACTGCAGTAAGAGCTCTGGTTTTTGCCCCTAATTTTATGGCTGTTAAATATTCTACTTTAAAATAATATAAAGCTTATATAAAGCTTTTTTGCTGATTTAACTTATTCTGATGAGTAAAAAGCATGATTTATACGCTGGTATTGGATAGCTCAGTCTTGATGATTTAGGATTGGACAAAGAATGGCAAATGTGAATGTAATGTTAATAGAATGAAATAAAAAAAGTTGGACTGTTCTGCATCAAGTACTATCACAAACTTGCAAACATTATCTTTGAAAATGCATGAATAACATCCACACAACAAAGTAAATATTATAAAAAAATTTTGTTTTCCAGTCTCATATACTAATAATCTTAAAAACAATTACATATATCTATGAAAAAGGATACATTCCTTCTTTACCAAGAGCATCTCCAACCCATTTACTGGCCATAACTGCAGCCATAAGTGGGACAATGTGGTTCACACTTCCAGTTAATTCAAACATAATCACAACCAGAGATACTGAAAGGAGGGGGAAACTCATTAAATGCCCATAATTTTTATAAAACACACAAACTGAAGTATACCACTACAATGTATTGATTTCTAGCAACAAATACACGCATAGATCTGTACAGAATGGACAAAACAGAAGATAAGTGTTTTCTTCAAATATATTATCACCGATTTTCTTTTCATATGTAATTGTTGTTTACAAGTTATGACTTGGGTGTGAGATATTTTTCCCAAAGTATCTTTTTATATAAATTCCCATACATACTGCAAAATACATTTGAATTTCCAGTAAAAATAATAATTCAAATGAAGGCAAGGATTTTCTGTGCACCCAGTTAAACATATTCTTTTGAGAGCAGAAACTGAAACAGTCTAACTTTTTGTTACTAATGCTTATGAAAACTATGACAACATGTTAAAGAGTTAAACTATGACAACATGTTAATATCCATCAAATGGATATTTGACCCAAACCCCTAAAAGTTGTTAACTTTGCTAAGCAGTAACCAAGTTCAGCTGAAGCATATGATGTAAATGCCTTCACAAAAGTACCAGTGGATCTTAAGCACAGGATAATAATTATGAAACATAAGTGAGAACATTTTTTGCTTATTGCTAAACATGTAATGCCTGCCACTACTATGCTAATTCTCCCACATGCAAAATGTATAGAAATAAAACAACTCAAGTTCTTGCAATTAATGAGAGAATCTAATTAAATTTAATTTTAAAATTTTAATACATCATTTTAAAAAAACGAGAAAACAGATTAGAATACTCATTATAAAGCAAGTGGAAGTTACAGATCAATAGAAAATTCTATGGAACGAAAATATGGTAAATGCAATGCCCTGACAGCAAAACTATCTCAGTAATCCATACTTTCTAGAATGATATACATTCCCCAAGAATGGGTCTTTGAAAAGAAAATTCTTTTGAATTTTTAAAAGCTATTGGAAATTAGACTAATAGTAATTTTCTTGAGAAACTTTCAGAACTCGTATTTTCCAGCCCAAATTCACTTCATTAACAGAGAATTATAATTTCTTTTCCATAAAATAACAATACTGAATGCCTGTAATGAATCAGCTATCAAACGAGTCAAATAAGTTTTATTAGAATCTTCTAAAATCCATACACGAGTTAATAAACCTGCATAAACTGAATAAACATGAAATTTATGTAGTAACCTATTCATTGCTTTCTTCTCTGTTCATTTCTTTAAATTATTTTTAACCACTGCAGCTTTCTTGCTTGCATAGCATTAGGGAACAATTACTTGGTAGATGCACACCATTTGCACCTTATTTTTTGTTACTTTGTTAGCTTTTCCTGAAGTATAACACATATGTTGATTACAATACTTGCATGTCCTGTTAAAATTATTATTAAAGCCTTTCTATTTGAAGGAATTACATAAGAATTTGTCAACAGAGGATTTAAAATCCATAAAGCTACTGAGCTTTCACACTAAAGAAATACAGTCAAAAGTCGTTAATCCGGACTCGTCGGGATTTCGGCGATTCCGGATTATCGATTTTTCCGGATTATAGATCATCAGTTTAAATCTGGTAAGATGGCATGCAGAAATTATAAAATTAAAAATGTGAAACCGTAATTTATGAAATAAAGAACAATTATGATCTAAAGGGTATCAAAATTTACAAAAAAAAAAAAAAAAAAACCTTAACATTTATTTGTTTACTTTATTAAACATTTCTTTCAATGTAAGTTGTTTAAGTTGCTTCGTTTTCTGTGATAATACTTTCTCTTTAATTCTATAAACAGACATAATTTCTTGTTCAGTTACAAAGTTCCACTGTTCAAGTCCCGTAATTGCTGTGCCGAGAATACCGACTTACTTGTCAAACGAAATGTTTTCGTTTTCAATAACCTCTGGGTCACTTTCTTCAATATCGGAAGCGAATTATAATGACGAGGAACTTGATTTAAATCATATCAAAGACGGAGTACATCGAGATGAAATACTACACTTAGTAAGGAATTATAAGCCAAATAAAATAAAAACATCTGCCCTGAAGATAAGGATAGTGCTGACAGATCAACTTCCAATCCGCGGGGTGAAATCGATAAACAGATTTCGGATTTCAAAACATACTTTCGCTTTGTAGATCCAAATTACATATTAGTAAATATATATCGGAAATTCAATTTGACATAATTGAAAGTTCAAGCTTACTTTTATGAAATTGCTCTAACAGTCTAAAAAAATAATAAGCCGGATCCAATTCAAAGATTAAGGAACAAAGCAATCTGCAACATTAACTGAATTAGATAATTTTAGCTCAGCGTATACCTCCGTCAAACATTAAACGCGCATGCGCACAAACATACTAGCAGCCGTAAAGGTCTTACGCGCTCTCGTAAACGCCTGTGCATATGCGTGAACGCGACGCATGCGCAGAAAGTTTGTAGCTTTGAGGTCCGGATTATGGGTGTCCGAATTAACGACTTTTGACTGTACTATATTCTACAGAAAGGTAGTCTTTACCCAGGTAATGAATTATAAAGAAATTCATGATTTATTCCATTTCATAGTCATCAACATAAAACAGGGTTTGTAGCCACATTTCAGTTAAAAAAATAAGCACCTATAAGCACTTTTCAAGCACGTTTTAAGAAAAAAATAAGCACCTGTCATTATACACAACTGCATAACCTTAAAAGAAAAATTAGACTTGCAATTTAAAATATGAGCAATGCAATATTTATTAAGAGAATGAGCATTACCTCAACCATGGAAAACAATTAACTTTTTTTTTTTTTTTTTAATTTTAAATGACAGTTTAATTTACAGAATTACTTTACAATGAGAGAGAAAAAAACTATGCAGAACTAAACTATATTACAAGATCTAATGATGAAATTTCAGTTCAAAATATAGAAAATAAATAATAATAAGCTATATTAGTTGTATTCGCTTGGTACCTAATAATAAATACAATTTATTTTTCCGCTTATAATATTTAAATAATTTAACTTAAATCAAAATTCTGAACATTTTCTAAATTTTCATTGCATAACAATTTTCCCTTAACATATATTCCAAGCAAAGTAATTTAAGTAACAAAGAGGAACATTTCTGAAATCAGGAGACGGGAAATTGCTTCATGCAGTCATCCTTTAACAGTAAAAGCTTAACTAACCCGCATACTCGGAAATTGCCGAATATTCCGTATAGTCGAGTTTAACTGGAAAAAGAGGAGAGGGGGATTGTAGCCGTTCTTTAGATTTCTCGGCTAAATAAATGATTTTGACATTTCGATATGTGCATCATATAAAAATAGAAAAACGGAACTGAGAAATATTCTGCTTAGAAAGCACAGTAAAACTCTTAAAAATCTTAGACTTGAACATCAAAATTAATTATCTCTTGCAAAATACCGCAAACGTTATTGCGCAAAATACGTGCGGCGTATAATTCTTCCATACATGTAATATTACGCAATCGGAATCAACAGCTTCCGGTATTCGGAGAATAAAGAACTAAATACAGGAATGGAAAGAGACCTTACTAATCTGGGGTGTTTTTGATTCTAATTTTGAACAGACTACGTTAAATTTCCAGGAATAGAATCATTCTTCGCTTGGGTTAGGTAGACCGCAGAAACTTTTAGTCCTATTCAATCCAGACTTGGACAATGGACAAAAAAAAAAAAAAAAAAAAGTCTGCTGCTTCAGTATTAGAGATTTTGCGGTGAAATTGAAGAACCTCCCAACCTCCGTACTGTATAATGTATTGGGAAAAAAAATTGACTATTCGATTACTTTCCTTTTATTTAAGCCATTCCGAATATTATTCCTTAGAAAGCTAATTTGTGTAAAAGTACAACCATTTTTGGAAATTTATCTACACAACTATATTATTATAAATATTCATACATATGCTCATAATATAAGCATAACGATCATACTAAACACGAATATGAACTGACCACGCGGAACGAGAATGCAAATTATTAAAATCTTGATAGAAATCCCCAAACGTGTGTAGTATTGGGTGGGAGCAAAAGAATACAGTATGTTACCGGACTTTTCTACTGCTTTCGCAATTCTTTGACCAATAGAAGGACGTGCACCTGTCTGTACTCTTGGCGCGCACATAAGGTTATGTTAATGCCAAAGAAAGGGGCGAAAAGCGATTTCTGAGGAATTATGATTCACCACCTGAATGATCCATATAAGGAAGAAAAGTTGTTTATTTAGTTTCCGCTTTGGTACCGGGGGGGGTGGAATGCGCGTTCATTAAAAAAGCACTAAAAGCAAAAAATAAGCACTAAAAACAAAATAATAAGGGCTTTAAAGAAAAAGTAAGCACCTATAAGGGTCTTTATATTTTATTTTCAAATATAAGGACTTATAAGCACTTGTAAGGACCGCTACGAACCCTGTAAAAATGTACAGCTTAGATTGCACTTAGATTTCCCATACATATTCTTCTACCACTGCTTTAGCTCACCTTATAGGTTAAGATTCCACTGACATTAGAATTTCATTTCAGTTTATCAAAAAATTTCATTACCCAAACTATTTAAAATGAAATTTTTAGCTCAAAATCAGATATATTACATTAAGCTATGTCTATTAGGCCTAAAGCCCACTGTAACAATAATTTCGTTTGGCTATGGGAAAGACAAAGGTAAGAATTTAGATCTACATTCATTTATTATATCATACACAGCAATGTTTTAGATACCCTCATTACCATATTTGAACATTTCCACTCCATATTGGTGAATCATCATTTACTACCACTTACCATTACAATCACCTGTCTATTTACTGGGATAACATTTTGTAAAGTAAAAATACTTTAACCAATCTTTGATGAGATGCACAAAGGCTTCTTCAAGTATACAATGCTGGAAGGCATACATATGCAAACCATAAACCAATCTAATTTGCAGTAGCCAAAACTCAGTTAATAGCTTATTTTGTACTGATGTTAAGTATTTTTTAACAAAGAATCATTTAAAGTGAATTTA